GGTCCTATCTCGGATGTCCCTTGATGATGTCCTTGAAAAAGATATAGCTAAGAAGTCATCATCTTCAACTAGCTATTCCGCAATCATCTCACCTTGTTTTTCCTTCCTCTTGGATTTAGATCCACAACTATTTTTCCCACTCCTTTCTTTATCTTTAGTATTCTCTTCATGACTTTGTACTCCTTGGTCATTATATTACCCTCATCATCCTCAACGTCATTACCCCCCGATATTTGTATCATCGTCATTATCATCCTCCCCATCATTTGTATCATCACCATCCTAATCGTCCTCTCCATCTTGCTCTTCACTTTTATCTTCCTTTTCACTTCCATCTTCGGATTCATTGCCGCAATTACCACCACTACTCAAAATTTTCTCTAACTCAATGAGCTCATCATACTCCTCTCTAATTTTTATAAGAAATTCACATACTTGAAGTAATGTCATTGCCTACAAATACAACACAATGAATAGGTTAGCATTCAAGAAAGATATAATAAATTGATAGTAACAAGACAACAATAGAAAAATGAAGTGTATATACCAGTTGATGACGTGATGCACTAGGAATAGATGATATAGTGGTTTGACTAGTGAAATTCCTAATACACTTTGGTTTTTCAATTAACCTCATCATCGCTTTTTGCCAGAAAGATCGAGAATTCCTCTCAATAAAAATGGGTCGTAAGGTTTCCTCTTTTATTTCACACTTGAGCTCCCCCACTAGTTCATAAAACCAAACCTGAAAAAAAAAACAAATTTAGTCACAACTATCAATATGTTAAAAAATTATATAATTTTATTGAAACTCATCATCAATACTGATGCAAACCCGCTCATGAATCCGGCTTGTGCCCTCTCCTACGGCTCTCTTTGAAATGGACAACTTTGCATTCGTCATCTCCTTATGTAGTAGATCATACACAGCACCGGCCCAATTATAAGCACGAAGAGCAAGTAAATTGTCCGCATATCTAAATACACATAATGGACATGAGTTAGTAGGCTGAGGACATAATACAAATCCAATATTAAAAGCCACAAGTAATTTCACACATGCTATATGATTGGAGTCTGCCAACTCCACAATCAAATTAGTCATCCTTTTGCGTGTGACCCACATTTTCTTATCTTTATTTTCATCCTTCTTCTTGACTTTCCTCTTATTTCTCTTACCAGCCTTTTCCTCCTTCTCCTTCTCTGTTTGGGTCTTTTTACATTACACATACTCAGTATATATAGTATTAGGCGCTGGATCATCTATTACAACCCTATTTCCAGTCTTCGGCAATCCAGTTATTTCATGTACATCAAGAACACTAAACACAATATCTTTTCACCCTATCCCGAATGAGCTATGCTCTGAATTAAATGCATGAAGCAAGCAATCGGCTGCAACTTGTTAATTAAGTATAGCAGGTAGATTAATGAAGTGGAAAAAAGAGGATTGACAGAGGGCTTCATAATGATTATCATTTAGCAAATGCCTCAAACGATTATTTACCAAATCACGAAATACCCCAATATTTGAAGGCAATATTAACTCTGCAATATTTTTCCTACAAAAAATATATCAATCAAAACAAATGGCCCTTATAAATATAAAATTTAAAAGATTGTAAAGCAAAGTGATAAAGCAAGGTGACATAATGTGATCTTAATGTTTAGAACTGAGCATTAACTATGACATCTATATTACATTGTGGACTTAAGAATGTAAATGCATATTGTTCTTCTTTGAGTACATGACTCTTGTTCTGGCTATTTTGGCAAAAGCATTAACTCTTCATCCCAATTATTTATTACTAGGAAGATATGTTTAGAAACTAATCTTTTTACTGATCTAAAACTTATAGACGTATCTAGAGATCCAAATCTTCAGATTCAATTTCATTACTTACAAGTAAAAACATAAGAAATTATTAAAGTTCATGAGATAACAATAATTTCAGATAATTTAAAATTTACTTACTTAGTAGCCTTATTCTTCGATTGGGAAGAACCCCTCGATTTACTTCTGCTTGACATCTCTGACAACCTATTGACGAATATTTTTAAAAATATAATATAATTATGAATATCCGAGCGGCAGGTTCCTAAAACCCCTAAATCCCCATTTCTCGTCGTCTTAAAGAAAAATGAGATCTTAGAAACTAATGGAAGAATAACAGATGATCAATCGCGAGCCTAAAACCCTTTCAAAAAACCTAAATCGACATTTCCCACACATTCGAGATCACAAAAACCCTAATCATGAATATGATATAAATCAGAAATAACTGCAATAAACTGCTGGATGTCGATGAGTAGATAGGAGAATAGAATGAGAGATCGATAAATTACCTTAAATTTTGACCAAATTAGGAAGGGATTATGAGAGCTCCAAAATCCTAGCTCAAGATTCATGTGTTACCCGCTTGATTTGCTAAGAATTTGATGTGCTCTACCTCTTCAACACCCACCAAAGTTCCCCCAAAATGTCCTCCGCTTTCAGATCTGTGCAGTCACCGCCTGTCGTCGCTCGCCATCGATCCTAACTCCCTTCGCCGCCGATGATCCTTAACCAGAGATCTCCTCGCCGGAACCCTAATCTCTACTAATCTCTTTGAGAAAGTGAAACGGAAGAGAGAGAGAGAGGGGGAGATGAGTTATATTTGGGGATGAAGAGTAGTTTAGGAATTTTTAATTTATTGGGTAAATACAATACAAAAAATGGGTGTATTATACATGTTGGGTTTTAAAATACGTGGGATGAAATACAATGGGTCTATTGGTGTTTGGAAAAGCGAGTGAGTTTCTAAATAAGTTTATGTAAAACTTTGGGTTAAAAGAGATTTTTCCCTTTTATTTTATGGCTTATCAGGAAATCCATATGTTTATTGTTCAGCGTAAATATTTAATTTATTGTTGAAGTGAATGTAGCTATCTCAGTTGTGGATGATGGCAATATATGTGAGACATTGTTGAAGGACTATTCTATTCATTATAATCCTTAGGATTTTAACTCAGTTGTTAAGAATATGTTTGCAATGCTACTAAACACAAACATAAAGAAAGTGTGAGTAAAGAACTTCGTAGTATATAACAATTATAATTGTGAAAGATTGGGATATTCTGAGAATGATCCAGAAGGAATGGCAATGGTTCATAACACTGGGAAATTGTAGGACCACATTTTTATTTGAAATTCTGATGAAAAGGATTCAAACAAGTGCTTTAGCTATTTCTTTTTGGTTTTCATTGAGATGCTTATGCTCCTCCACCCCCTCTCTCCTACCATCAGCTTTGCTTGTTCTACTTCACGTTCTGTAGACTTTTTCTGTGGCTTTTATCTTTCCATCAGAGAACATTCTTTACTGGCACATGTTTGCTCTTTTCTTCTCGTATATGTAATTGATTATCTACCAGTGTTTCATTTTTGTTTGGTCCTTTTGGATGTTCGGAAGAATGACTGATGATTCTTCCTCTGCAGAAATGAGGAAGTAACTTCTTTTTCCGTCTATGCTCTTCTGGATGCTATTTATGAATTCTTTCTAAATAGGATCTTTTCTGTGTATTTCGAATTCTGATTACTATCTACCGGCCTTCTACTTAAACCTGTTCTTGTGGCTGAATATTATGTCAAATTCTTATAAAATTTTTGAACATGGATTCCGAAGCTTGGATTCCATATGACCTTTGGTAGGACTCAATAGTCTAGATGAAACTATCTCGAACATTTCTATATTGTTCACGGTTATGATGTGGCTTAGATGTATATGTTCTAGCACACACTGCACCTTTCAGTTCCCATAAAATGATAAATACATTGCAAACTCCAGGCTGTATGGTCCAGACTAGATTCCGCAGACCCCAACCATTCTTCACTATTTCCACGCATCTTTATTATCTGATGCCTTCGGGCTCAGCCACTTCACAAAGTGAGAAAGAGTGAGTGGTTCATGTCTTCGTGGTGCTGAGAAGAGCAAAAAGCTTTTACATATGATGCCCACTACTTTAATTGTTACTTTATCAAATCATGTGTCTTAGGATAAATTTGAGGGCCTTTAGCTCCAATCCACGACCTAGGAGTGTAGGGAGAAAGTACCGGGCCCGGGGGGGGGAGGCATCCAGTAAGCTAAACATTTTAGAGTTCTATTATGTAATGCATGTAGATATACTCTAGCTGCATATCGTTCGTGCAATCCCTCAATAGCTTTATGAAGAGCAATACGATGATCAGGGGAAGCTCAAACGGTCCTCGCTAGTTTGAATGGGTGTATGACAGGAAGATTAATAGAAAGGCGGGATCTAGATACCAAAGAGCAATATAATGTTTAATATTTGCCTATGTGCTGACCCTGAGAGATCTTCTTTCTTTTTCTTTTTTTTTTCTTTTTTTTTTTGAAGGTAAAAAATTGAGTTGGAGATGTTCCGTTAGACCTTTATGCGTTTATACCTACAATTGTTCTAAACAAACGGCAACAGGGTGAATTCAGCTTCTGATTTAGGGTGTTCAGATGTATATTTAGCTCAGAGTAGTGGCTCTGTAAATTTTGTTGCTTGAGATTTTTCTTCTCAATACTTCAGCTACCTACTTCCAGGCTTCAAGCCATGAATAAGAGAAACACAAACAATGTATTTAGCTATGAAACGCTTTAATGAGGATTCAGTCATGAATAAACTGTAAGATTCCAATTTATCGCTTGTTATGGTAATAAACGCTCGGAACTGGGCAAGCTTTGGCGTTAAACTTTTATCAAACTCAGATATTTGCATCGATTTCAGGCTTCATGTAAGGTTATCAGTAATCTGCATCCAACTGCAACACTAATCAGGTTGCCCTCCAATATTTTTAGGGGTCTTTTTGTCCGTACTTTCTCTTATTCCAGTTGAAGCAACAAATTGGAGAGTATCCATGTTTTCCTGATTTTTTTTTCTTTTCTTCATCTGTAACTGTATTTCTTTGTCCTGATTTGATGAATCCATACCTGAAAAATTTCAAGACACTCACTAGATTTTATGAATGATACTTTTATTTAGTGTTCTCAATAGCATACCATCTTCTCATAAACAATACAGTTACACAAACAAAATAGCATACCAAACATTCTTCATAATTCACTGCACACACTGGCAGATTATGGCTCATACATACTCATAGAAGCATCAAAACCTCAGATAACCGATAACCTCTCTCTCAACATTGAACTATGGACATTTGGACCTCTTTCTCTTGCCAGTACCGGTAGTCTTATCCCTGTAGCATGGGCATTTGTCCTTGTTTCCATATGTTCCGGGGGGGACACAGTGGCATTCCTCGCAACAAAGCCCGCAGTACTGGAGGCACTTGTCTTGAACGCTCGCCTTTGAGCACCTCACCTTGCATTTGCCATCACAGAAAGCTGTACGCATGACAACATAATTGTTAGGAGCGTATTTGATCTATTCAGTTGATGTGTGGGTTATGAGATAGATATGTGATCAAATATGCTTGAGCTCATGACTCAAGTATGTTTGAGTCAATCTGGATTCAAGTAGATTAGCCATGGGCACTAAACACGGAAAACGTAAGGGAGTAGCTGTTTTAGTTTAGTTACCTGAGCCAGCCATGGCAGCTCGGAGGCAGGAGCATGTCAGGAGGAGGAAGAGAAGTGGCAGCGCAGGGGAGAGCTTCTTCATCTTTGATCAGCTGTTGAATAATGAAGATCTGGTTTGTTGTCGCCCTTTTTATAGGAGGTTTGAGTGTGTGTAGTTGGGGGTGAGTTATGAGGTAGCTGTGTGTTGGCACAGAGTGGAAACGGTAGGGAGAGCGGTGATGCTGGGCCGTGATCTGCTCACTGACATGTGTCGAGGATTTGAGCTCTAGTGCATCTTCCCTTATTAATTTTGCATTTATTTTTGCTATTGGGTGTAGGTGTGATAGTACGGAAGTGTTTGAATTTCACATGATCATGTTTCACTCGGGAAGGATGGCGGATTTAAACGAAAAGTTAGGTTCAAAGGATAATTTGAAACTCCCAGGTTTTGTTCAAGGATTAATGTGCGCTAGAAGAGTGACTACAGTCTGGTTAAAATTAGATTGGTTTGCCCTGTATTATTTTGCCTCTAAAAGCTTTACAGCTGGCATCTTTTCGACCTGAGGCCGCATAGTTGTATTAGTACATAAAAACCCAATATGTTATTCTTCAGTTAGTTATCTCGGTAAATTATGTGAAAAGCTGATCATCTATACAATAGAGTTTTCTTTTGTAATGCGTAAGAGATACAACTGTCAGGCTTTGGGTTATAGATTTATGTCCCACTATGTAAGGTGTGTGCTCTGTAAAGATAACACCGATAGTGCTTAGCACTAGCCCAAGACCGTAATACCCGAGAAACTCGAAAGAAACCAAGAGAATAAACCTCTAAGTATGAAGAAGAATATGAAAGACTTTTAGAGAAATGTAGAGGACTTATGAAGAGGAAGACTCTTTATTTGAACTTGCTTTATTCACTTGTTCAACTTTTTCTTCTTATTTACAAATGAGATGGGTGAGGAGGTATTTATAGCCTCCCAAAGATATGTTACAAAGGATCTAGATTCTTCTAATATCACCTCCATAGTTCCTAGATATTTTTCTAATCTCTAGAAATTTCTACATAATATCTAAATATTTTTATCACAAATTATCTAGATGTTTCTATACTATTATCTAGATATTTAGCTTAAAGATTTCTCTAGAATACTTTAAGGAGGTGATCAAGCTTCTAGAGTGTTTCTAGAAAACCTCTAAAATTTGGACCTAATTTTGGATTTGGTCAAACTTAGAATAATTCCATCATAAACCCAAAATTAAGCTTGATCCAAAATCAAGTTTAATTTCAATACTCCCCCTTAAACTTGATTTTGTCAACCATCCCGAGTTTCGAGCGAAGTAGCTCAAATTGGCCCTTTGGTAGTGACTTGGTGAAGATATCTGCAACGTTGTCTTCGCTTCGAACCTCCAAAGCTTCAATTGTTCCATCAAGCAACTTCTCCCGTATGAAATGATGTTCTAACTCGATATGCTTCGTCCTTGCCTTAAATTTGCCAATGCTCCCATCCGTTTTTCACTTAATTTGGTACACCCATTTACAAGAAACGGGTTGGACATCCTTGGGTTTTGGAACCAAATCCCAAGTTTCGTTCTTCATGAGAACATTCATCTCCTCCTTTATTGCGCCCTCCCACTCTTGAACTCCTTTTGCTTCATCATACGATGATGGATCCTCTTCATCTAATGGAGCTACAAAGTAGCATGAGTAAGTAATGACAAACCTTTCATCTCTGAACCGAGCAGGCTTAACAATGTTCCTTTTTGGCCGTTGATTAGCCATGGAACTACGATCTTCTTCCTCATCTTCCTCTTGATCAGTGCTCCCCCTTTCACCTTGCGTCTCTTCTTCAAGACTTCCGCTTTCACTTGGCATTTGAATAACTGGTTCATCGATCTTGGAGGAACCCCTACCTTCTTGTTCGACCAAGACTTGAGGTGGCCCATAAAATGAGGAAACTTCATCAAAGACAACATCACGAGGCACGGTGTACCTGTGTGTCTCTGGATCCATACACCTCTAGCCCTTCCTTTGTTCATCATAGCCGACAAAGATGCATTTCTTCACCTTTACCTCCAACTTGGTTCTTTGAGAGTCAAACACGTGGACGTAGCAGATTGATCCAAATATCCTGAGATGTTTCACCGTTGGCTTCTTCCCATGAACCATCTCATAAGGAGACTTCATATTGTTCGGACTAAGTGGCATCCGGTTGATGACATACGCTGCACATCTCATGCCTTCCGCCCATAAGGCCTTAGGCAAATTTTTGTCATGTAACCAGCTTCTACATGTCTTGCTTAGATGTCTTATCTTCCTTTCTGCTACTCCATTTTGCTGAGGTGTATACGGACATGTAAATTCTCTCTTGATACCATGTTTTTGGCAAAAAGAGAGAAACTCCTTTGACATGAACTCCCCTCCATTATCCGTCCTTAAAGTCTTGATCTTCTGACCTAATTCTCCCTCCACGGTAACCTTGAATTCTTGAAACTTGGAGAATACTTCTGATTTTTCCTTCACAAAGTATACCCAAGTGTACCGTGAGAAGTCATCAACAAACAGTAACATGTATCGAAACCCAGAATAGGAGGATGTTCTCGTCGGACCCATTAAATCACTATGGACCCTCTCCAATGGAGCGCTGCATCGTGAAGTGGAGTTGTCAAATGGAAGCCTATGTGACTTTCCATATTGACAGCCTTCACAAAGCTTTCCTTCATCATGAATCTTTAACTTTGGGAGCCCGTTAACCAAATCCTTATTCACCATAACCTTTAGCTTAGTCATATTTATATGACCAAGCCTAGCATGCCATATAAAAGCATTATCATTTGTACTCATCTTCTCAACATAAGAATTTGAGGCCGATAAAACATATAAATCCTTAACCCGTGCTCCGGTGTGAACCACGTCCGCTTTTAATTCTTTAATATTCTTTAAGAATTTAACGTCTCTTGGGCCAAATAAAACGTAGTTACCTGAGTCAACCGCATTCACCACAGAGAGAAGATTCTTCCTTACTCCAGGAACATGATATACGTTCTTGAGAGTGATTGGGCTTCCATCATCTCCTTCAATAATGAATGTCCCTTCCTTCTCAACGCGGTGGATTGAATTATCCGCAGTAATGATGGCTTCTTTCCCTGTCATGACGCTAAAGACTAGAAAATAACTTCTCGTCTCCGGTAATATGATGGCTACAACCAGAATTCACAATCCAATCATTTCCAAGATTTTTAGCTATGGATGTACCTGAAGATGTAGCCTCCACCGTGAAACATTTTCCCCATTCTTTGTCTTCAGTATGACCCTTTGATTCCATCATATTTGTTTCCTTCAGCTTGACTCGACAATCCTTTTTGAAATGCACAAGTTTTCCGTACCGATAACACTTGAATCGCTTCTTGTCTCCCGTAGAAGATCCTTCTCGTCCATCATTATTCTTCACATTACCATATTTGGGTTTGGCTCTGAAGCTTTGTTGTCTCCCCACTACAAAAACGCTCCCAGAGTCATCATGGACTTTAACTCCTGCCATTTGCATGGTTAGTGATTCTTGCGAAGCTAGTAGATTTTCAAACTCCTCCAAAGAAGGTTGTGTAGCCCATCCTTGAACTGAAGTAACAAACGGTGTATATTCGGGTCGTAGACCACGAATAATAGACCGCTTCAACCGTGCTTCCGAAATCGACTCCTCCGGATTGAGAGTATTAATCTCAGAGCAAAGATTTTTTACCTTGATGAAAAATTCTGAGATTGAAGACTCCCCCTGCTTCGCATTCGCCAACTCGTTCTCTAACAGTTGTAGACGAGCCTCGTTCTTCTTGTTCAACAATTGATCTAGTGCCTGCCAAATAGCACTTGCGGATGTACATCTTGAGACATGCTCAAATAGTCCTGAAGATATTGACCTCTTCAAAGCAAACTCCGCCTTAGCATTCTTCCGTGTCCACTCCTTTGTCGCTTCCGCTGTTGCAGCATCTCCCCTTGGTGGTGGTGTGCTGCTACCGCCGACGACATCCCATAAGTCCTCACTAACCAAGTATAACTCCATACATGACTTCCATAATCGGTAGTTAGATTGGTTTAAGATCTTCATTCCCAAGCCAACGACACGACCCATTGATTCCATACTTAGAGTAAACCCGAGCTCTCTTTAAACCCCGATCTTGAAGAGCACAAGATTAGAATGGCTCTGATACCATGTAAAGATAACACCGATAGTGCTTAGCACTAGCCCAAGACCGTAATACCCGAGAAACTCGAAAGAAACCAAGAGAATAAACCACTAAGTATGAAGAAGAATATGAAAGACTTTTAGAGAAATGTAGAGGACTTATGAAGAGGAAGACTCTTTATTTGAACTTGCTTTATTCATTTGTTCAACTTTTTCTTCTTACTTACAAATGAGAGGGGTGAGGAGGTATTTATAGCCTCCCAAAGATATGTTACAAAGGATCTAGATTCTTCTAATATCACCTCCATAGTTTCTAGTTATTTTTCTAATCTCTAGAAATCACAAATTATCTAGATGTTTCTATACTATTATCTAGATATTTAACTTAAAGATTTATCTAGAACACTTTAAGGAGGTGATCAACCTTCTAGAGTGTTTCTAGAAAACCTCTAGAATTTGGACCTAATTTTGGGTTTGGTCAAACTTAGAATAATTCCATTATAAACCCAAAATTAAGCTTGATCCAAAATCAAGTTTAATTTCAATATGCTCTTGAATCTTCTGCAATGATTTCATGTGGGTTGAAACACGAGATGGTGGTGTTTACTGCAGTGCTTTTACTAGCTTCACTTCTACTTTATCTGAAAATACTGTTGAAGTAGACTTAAAATACTTCCAGTGACCGCACTTGCATGCAACTAAAATATTTTAAACCAGTTGCAAATATTTGTCTTATCGCGGCTAATAAACACACTGTAATTACGAAAAAAACTCATGTTGCAGGCGACGCGTAAGTTGTAATTGCAATCAAAAGAAGTCTAAAATGTATATTCAATTATAACAGCAAAATAAGTCTATAAGAATCTTGGCAACCGAAAACAAGCATGTGAACCGAAAACAAACATATAAAACTACAACTACTGTTGAAGCTACAGACACTTGAATTTCGATTATAGTTAC